ACCGCGCCGCGCCCCGCAGCCGCCTCTACAGGTGCGGAGGCCGGGACGGGCCTCACTGCCGCTCCATGCAGGGGACGGGCAGCCCCCTGGGAGGGGGTGGGACCGGGGAGGCCGGTTTGGGAGCTGGTGGGAGAAGAGTGAGGACTGGGGAGCCAGGGTGAGCTGCCCAGCTCTCCTGGAGGGAGCCTGGCTGGCCCCTGAGGCTGCTGGCAAGGCTGCATCAATCCTTGTTCTTCCGCGGGCTCAGGCCTGTGGCGTGCTTGTCCTGGCAGTTTGAACTGCGTGGAATGGAGTCTCCTGCCACCAGTGACAAAGGAGATGATTGCGCAGGCTGAGCAGCTGATGGGCCGCTTCCAGGGGGATCCTTCTTTTGCGTATGAGTTTGCAGAGATAAATGCAGAAGATGCTGAAAAGCTGATTGAAGGTGGTAAGGAGGTAAATACAGCAAAACACTTCTGAACTGTCTTAGCTACAGTTGTACCCTCTCACACTGGACAGGTGGTTGCTTCTTCTCCTTTTTTGTAATAAGCAGCCTGAGCTCAGGCAAAATACACACAATTTTCTCTTTGCTGTCATTGTGTAGTAACAGCTTCTTGACTGAACTCTTATTTCAGTTTCTCCTGGAGTTAAGACACATCTCAGAAATACTATATCTCCCTTATGTTTTATTATGCGCAGTTGGTACAGATCCTCACTGCAGTTTCTGAAGCTTTAACAGAAATGCAGGCATCATCCTTTATAAATGAATAGAAAAGTGATAAGCTTAATTGAGAGGGCGGAAAGGATGGATGGAGAGAGGGAGGGATAATTAACCCTCTGGTGAGTCTTAACTGTCTGCTTCTAGCCACATTTACTGTCATATCTCATGAGAAGAATGTTTGATTTGATGTCCTTCTCCCAGTGCCATTGGGCTCCAAGCTGATGAGTCAGTTGTGGTTTCTACTGTCACCTCGAGTTTATTTCCAGAAATGGCAACAAGGCTAGTCCTGCCTTTAAAATTTGCCTATTTTTCTTTAAAGTTCTCGATCAAGGAGGAGGTCCGCCTTGTGGCTACAATAGAACAGATAGACAGAGCAGTTGGTATCATCCCCCGGGGGGCATTTGTGAAGACACCTCTTGGGTCTGTGCATGAAAACAGAAACTTTGAAGGTAAAGTCTCATTTTCTTTATCAGGACCAACTGTACTTTGATCATAAAGGCTGTAAATTAAGATGACTTTCTCTAGTTGATGTTTTGATTTCAGATTTATTTTTTCTTGGTTAAGATGAACAGGAGGAGAGAATTCAATGCCACTCATGTTCAGGTGCATGATTCAACTCTGGAAGGTGGGAGGGGAGTTAGTAATGGCTCTGAATCATTAAACCTGTAGTTCCATTTGTCTGTGTGTAGTTTATGTCGGTGTTTAGCAATTATAGCTGCAGTGAATTCTCCATCTAGACACAGGATGCAACCAAATGGGCACAGGGGGTTGGTCTCCACTCAGTGTCTACTGGTTCTCTGGGGCTGCAGTTAGCATGGTCTGCAATGCACAGCGTCAGGGAGTGCTGCTGCCCTGTTTCTGGCAAGCCTTTGATCTTCTGTGGAGTCCACTGAAGAAAAATTGTGGTTTTGTGGGTGTTAGAGAAACAATATGGTATTGGATGGTACGATGAATGTTAGTCTAGCTTGCTGTATTAATGCAGGTCACCAATGGCTTTTTGCAGGTCTTTCTTTCACAGAGGCAAAAAAATTAAGTTCCTATTTCCATTTTACTGAGCCTGTTAACCTGAAGAATAAAACCCTGCTGGAAAAGGCTGATCTGGACCCATCCACTGACTTTCTAGACTCTCTGGAGCATGATATCCCACAAGGTAAAGGTAGCAGAATCAACAGTTACAATTGAAATGGAATGCAGTCAGAGTAGTCTGGGAAATGCCAAGGCAACGAGGTGTGGGTTACTGTAGAGCTGGTATTTGCTTATGCAAATCTGTAAAGCAACTTTATCCTTTACTACATATTGTACTTAATTCTCTTTTTAAGTAATTCTAAAGGCTCACAATGGTAACATGTAAGTGTACCACGGCTGTCATGTACTTTCCACAGGTCTGACCACACCAGCAGTGCCTTCCTTCTGCCTGAGTGCCATATTCTGGCCTGACTTCTGTAAAGCCTGTGGTAGCTGGTGTTCCTCTGGGGAGAGATAACTCCACCACTGATAGAGGAAATTTATATGGTTTGAAGTAATTCACACCTCTTGTCCCACCCAGTATTGCTGCTCTTTATCTAAATGGGCTCTCATTAACACTAAACTGATATCTTTGAGAGGCTGAATTCAAAAGTTCCTTTGATAAACTCTGATAGAAATGCTGCAGTGTAGAATAATCTGTACTTCAGTGGGATTACTCACCGTGAAGGAGAAAGAAAGATGTGCATCCTGGAATGTACCTTCAGATCACATCTCTACTGTTCTGCTGGACAACTGTTAAATGTATTTAAAGCCTCTTCTACAGATGTCTGGCAGGATATTTCTCTAAAGAGATGGAACAACTTGTTACTTGCTTCTAACTGCTTTTTGCTGATTTGCTGCATTTTTTTTAATTTTCTTTTTTAATTGGGCCAAGTGTTTTCACATTCTGCTGTCTAGAAAGATTCTTGGGACACAGTCAGAACTTAGCTTTGCTGTTTTTTTCCTATCCTGAAGTAGCAAGATAGGACAGTAGGTGACCTGTGCCAGATGGAATTGGCTGGAAGGTCAGTGAATTGCCAGTGCTGTAAATAGCTTCTCAGACTTTACACACACACACACACACACATATTTTCCAGTCTTTCCTTTGGGGAAAAAAAACCCTCAAAACCTAAGACCGAACCTAGTGAGCTCCTGCCTGTGTTCTGAACATTTCTGACTGTTCAGAGCATAAACAGCAAGAAAATCTAAACCATTGTTCAATTTAGTGGGAATGTCCATGCAGTCCAGAGGTGCAGTCTGGAGAGACTGCACATTTTTGCGTACACTGGGTCAATCAGCTGTCCCTTTTGTCTCAAAAAATTAGTACTGCACAAGGGATTAGGTACTAGATAACTCCTAAGAAAACTTTAGCTGCAGTTTCTTATGGCATTTCAGCTGTGCCAGTGTCATGTTTGTCTTCTTGAGGCAACCTGAGGTCTGTGTTACTGTGGACCTTTGCCCCCTTCCTGGGAGTTTGTGGTTGTTAGTGCAGATTTCAGTCTCCTCAGAAGAGTTACCTCTCAAAGACTACCTGTGCTCAAGGGAAGCTGAGTGCTTCTTAATGGAGAAGAAGATTCATCATGGTACCTATGCAGCTCCGGCTGCTCTGTCCTGCTCATTTTTGACTGGACCTGAGGATTGATGGAATGAGCTTTTCAGGCAAAGGAAGTAAGACAGGAACTGGTTACAGGATCAGCAAGGCATGTAGCCTCTCTAATTGCACTCTATCACATGCAGACATGAGCTCTAACATTAAAGAAAGATCAACCCACCCTCCATTTAACAAGCATTCAGGTTGCCTACAGTACTGGTTGCTTGTGAAAATGTGTGTGTGTGGGAAAGAACAGAGGGCAGACACAGGCTAGGCTGAGAAAGTTGGGACTGTTCAGCCTTGGAGAAGAGAAGGCTGCGTGGAGACCTCATAGCAGCCTTCCAGTATCTGAAGGGGACCTACAAGGATACTGGGGAGGGACTCTTCATTAGGGGCTCTAGTGGTAGGACAAAGGGGTAATGGGTTTAAACTTAAACAGGGGAACTTTAGGTTAGATATAAGGAAGAAGCTCTTCACAGTGAGGGTGGTGAGGCACTGGAATAGGTTGCCCAAGGAAGTTGTGAATGCTCCAACCCTGGAGGAGTTTAAGGCCAGGCTGGACAGAGCCTTGGGCAGCATAGTTTAGTGTGTGGTGTCCCTGCTCATGGCAGGGGGGTTGGAACTAGATGATCTTAAGGTCCCTTCCAACCCTAACTATTCTATGATTCTATGATTCTGTGATTTTATCAGCATAGCTCTGCCGAAGTCACTCACTCCTGGCTGCAAGGCACTCAAACACTGGTTCTTGGATTACCTTCCTTCAGCTCTGCCAGTGTGTGTTGTTCCTGACCCAGAGCAGACAGCACTTTTTGTATTTCCTGACACATTGTGCATAGCTCTGTCAAATCCCTTCATTTTGACCTGAAGCTTTTCTTGCCTTTCCTGGCTAGATCTTCTCTTGAACAATTATTGTCAGAGCACAAGTATGAATTCCCAAATCTATTGCATCTAGAACTGTGACTGAAGCGAGAATTGTCTCTGCCCTTAACAAATACACAAGAAGTGGACTGGGGCTGAGTGACATCTGAGTGATGCTTCCAGCCTGCACTGGCTAGAATTTCCCTAGCACCTTAAAAGACCTGAAAAACAGTACTGAGAGATTAAGGGCTAATCTTAACTTGTCTAAAAGTAACAACTCTGTTGGAATAGTTTTCTTCATAAGTTGGAGACTGAGCCTCTGTGACGGCTGTCAAGGGGGTAACTGTCATAAAATGTATGGTGTGTCATTATAGGAGAGCAGAGGTGTCTTACAGAATGGAAAGTTGGAGGCAGAGAGAACGTTTTATATGACAGCTGAGAGGTGGGAAGAAAGGAAGTTAAAACCAGGCTGAATAAGGGAAACGATGGTAAAAGCAGAGAGTTTAGTGCAAGATTGGAAAACCTGGAGTTTTGTAACAAAACTGTCTGCCACTCTTATCTTTACCAGTGATATCTGTCGTGATTGAAGGTTCCAGATCCCGTCTGTGTGTCTATTGGGTTATCTGAACTTTAAGAGTTCAGAATATGTTGCTGCTCCTCCCCTAATCATACTGTGAGTCTGTTTTTTCTTGATGTCTCAGCTTCCAGAGACAAGTGACTGTGACTTAGCTTTTATTAAAAACCCCACATTAAAAAAAAAAAAAAGATTGTAGAGAAAAGTGGGAGAGTGTGAATCCTGTCTCAAAAGCAAATTCAGTTGGTTTATCCCCCTTAAAATCTTCAGCTTTTTGAGCCAAACTCTTGAATTTGAGTTTGGACATGGAGTGCTTTTTTAGACATGGACTGCTTGCGATACTGATCTTCTGTCACCACAGTGTCAGATCATGTAATGCTTCATTCTGATCCAAATGGCCAGCTGGCCAGAACTTTGCATGCTGGGATCTGTAGGTTTTGCTGCCATATGTCTGCATTAAAGATAAGCTTGTTTGCTCTAGTCTAAGCAGACAATCTGCTCAACTTTATGCACAATTAGATGTAGCCTTTCAGCTCCTGGCAGATTGCCAGTGTGGTCTTTTCTGCTGCGTGGAGTTCAGCACCCTGGGCGATAGCATTTCAGGAGCTAGAGTTGTGGCAGTTTTACATGTGCTTGTAGATAATGGAATGGCAAAGCAAATAGCAGTAATTCCTATCATGCCTACAGCATTTTCACTTCATGACCTAATGTTGCGTAGATATGAAATAATAGCCACTTGTCAGGCATTGACATGATAGGGAAAGTGAAAAGGGAGAGAGAAGGATGATTTTACTGTGACCATGGTATTGGATCAGGCAATGATACATTCTGCAAGGATAAATGAAGGGGATGGGAGAAAGCCTAATGTGCTAGTGCAGAATGGAAAGCTTGGAAGTAAAACAGGAGATGATGAATTCATTTCTTTCATGCTTTCAAACTGTGGTTCAGTAAAGCAGTAACTTGACTCTGAAGGTTTGTTGCAGATCACTGACTTGGATAGATTACTTTGATATGGAGATAAGGGACCCCAACAGGGCACTGTTAAAAACTGATGCAGGAGGGGAGGTGTGTCCTAGGCAAAGGAAAAGAAAAATGTAGATAGGAAAAGATCTGAGTGGAAATAAGACTTATATAGAAGACTTTATTCAAAAGTCATGGCTGCCAGTCAATAAATAGCTGCCTATCACAGTTCACTGCTGAATAAGAGTAGGATTTAAATGTAAAGTATTTAAATTTTTAAAGAATTTAAAAATCAATATAAAAGGAAATGCATTAAAGTGGGAACAACTAAGGATTGATATAAATTGCAATCTACAATATGAGTAAAAAATGACAAAGGAAGCTGGGATATCCTGGAGTAATCCATGACAACTGTAAGGAGGATTTTTTTCCACCTATATTGAGAAGAAAAGAAAGCATTGACATTTCCAGCAATGGTACTGGAAAGTGTCATTAAGTAGCGGTGGTAAAAAGGGTGATAAGAAATTTTCATTTTTTTATTTAAGAGGTGAATCAAATTAAGAAAATAAAATACTGTTTCAGACAGTTTTCAGACTGTTTTCTAAGGGAGGATGGAGTTAGATGACCTTTACCAGGGGTCAAAAAATGAAAATGGCAAAGCCAAGTAAGTTACTAATGAAATCATTATCTCGGGAGACTTGTGGCATGCTTACGATGTTAACCTTTAATAAATCCCGTCATTGCAGAAATATTCCCCATGACTTATCTTGACTAGTAGCTGTGATTCAGAAATCACTGAATGAGTGTATTTTTGGAAGGGATCAGAGGGGGCTTCAGCTGGGACCAGTGCCAGTACTGATATTCTTCAACCTATTTATAAGTGATCTGGAAGTAGAAGATTGGTGGAGAGACAAATAATGACAAGGGCAGGACAGCTACAGAGATCTGGCAAACTGGGTTTACCTAAATAAAGCTACATTTTGATGTATCTATCTACCAAGTCACATATCTAAAAGCAGGGACTGGAAGCCTACAATTTGAGAATTATATTTTGGAAGCTATGGCTGAAAAAGGAAATTGAGACACAACCCCTTGAACACCAGCTCCCAGTCAGGTCCTGAGACTTAAAGGCTAATTTGATCTACAGATGTACAAACAAAGG